CCCCAAAACCCCAAAACCCCAAAACCCCAAAACCCCAACCTCATACTTCACAATTGAACTTTACACCCGCTGGTTTAGGCTTGAATCATCAATCTCATCGTCATCTTGACTATTTAGAATTCCTATATTCTCCATTTCTCTTGTATGGCCTTGCTTATAAAGGTCTTCTTCTGAGGTGAATTGTGCATACGTAATGTCTTTTCTATTTACCCTCTGGCATACATAGCCTAATGTAAGGGCTACGATTGCGAATAAGAAGACAACTATCAGCGTTACTGCTAACAATATGATTATATTAGTCTCCTCTTTTATAAAGTCACAAGAATGGCATTCAACTTGGTAAAAACCTTCTGTGACATTGACTACTTCTGTAGTCACTCTATGTTGGTATTCAGAACATTTTCCCCTGGAGAATCCGATTTGAGCTGGACTTTCTGGATCGAATACTACTAGATTCTGCCTCAAGAATGCTGCTCCAAGAACAATAGTTCCTCTTATACGGGCCATTTCGATAGAAATACAGAATTTGTTTGTGTCTCCTTGCTGTGAGAAGTACTCACTTGGGAACCAATTTAACACTCCATACTCTCCGGCGTCAAATGTAATAGTTGGGTAACTCCTGAAGAAATCTCTGAGAGACTTATTCATAGTGGTATCATACTCGTGTCAATTCTTGTCAACTTTCTTTCCAATGCATTTTCCTTCAGTATCCTTACAAAATTGGTCAAGTGCTTCATAAATATGGCGTTGCTCTTCATGATCCATATAAACCCATGAAGCTCCAGTGTCAATGGATCCGACTTTTGGAACATGAGGGATATGGACATTACCAACGTAAAGACCATTTAGTTGGATGGAGTAGGAAGTATCATCAATAGTAGGAATCCAATTGATGCCTATTTCTTGGTTATACAGTAAGTTTGTGTCATAGCCACCAAAATTGATAATTCCATCTTCCATTCCAAGGCAGACCATAAAGGTTGCGCTGTCAACAAGTTTTGCTTCTCTCATCTGAACATTTATGGGTGGAAATCTCTTAGCTTTGGATTTTGAGAGACCGAGTACTCCATCTGCTTTTTGACTCTGAAGATTAAATGTTTCTTTGGTAACCTACAATTATGAAAATTTACTTACTCATCCAAAGTACATATCAAAGTCACCATTTTTAGATTCAGGTGGCCCAATCCGCATTGTATCAATTCCATAGAATCCTTCATAGCGGCTGCCTTCGCCATACTGCTGTTTAAATCTACAATCTTCGTTCTTTGAACAGTCGAGGCATAAGTCTTTGTCTCAGCTAATCTTCTTGTATGTTTTTGATTCCTTAAATGGATAATATGGTGCAATTGAAGTGCTTGCTCCGCTATCTGAATAATTTCCTTTAGATTCAATTTTATTGTCACTAAACTAGCATTAAAATAGAGCATATATTTTAGACCTACGAGTTGATGTGTTTTCCACAAGATTCACAAACCCCTTGACAAGGAAAAGCAGTAATAGAAGACCCTGTGTCCACTATCAAAGCTTGCTTTCTTGGAGGGTTCTCTCCTACCCAAACATCTAGGTAGAAGTACATGAATTCCTTTAAGTCTCCAGTCAGGTTAGCTGCTTCGATATTCTCTTCTAAATATTAACAGATGATTTTTACTTAATGGTTCACCCACTAGCAATCTAGTCTGCAGTTGCCTTGTTCCAGTGGCATTATCTATCCTCGTAATTGCTCCATCTAACCTAATTTGATCTGTTTCAGCCCTAACTAACAAAAGGCAAAATAGAAGACAGCACAATTTTATCAGAATATCCATATTTTCTTTAAATTATTAAAATCAACTTTACCTTTTCCTCAAGGGGTTTTGGGGTTTTGGGGTTTTGGGG